AAAGAAGCTTATATATTTAAAACTATTAATCTAGATATAGACAACTCTAATAACTAAACAACCTACCAATCTTGTTATTACTAAACTCAAAATTCTTCTCAAATAAACTATTCAAACTTTTGTAAAGAGTTAGCTTTTGCTAATTTTTGTCAAAACTTTACTAATTCTGTGAACTTTTGCAAAAAGTATCTATATGTTAAGCACTAATATCAGAAAAATTTTTTGAAGATTTGTATCAATTGCTAGTAGCAGAAGTGATTGTAATCAATTTTTTATATGATATATATTGATTATTAGTTATATATCAATATATATTACTAATAATATATATTGATTATAGTTATATATCGATATAGTATTTTAAGTCATATATTTTTTGATAGCTAGCTTAGCTAGCTAATAGATTTTATAGCTAAGCAGCTAAAAATATAAAATTACTATAAATAGTAATTTATACTTATTACTACATATAGTATTCTTCAAAATAGTTATTTAATAAGTATATCAATATAGGTTTAAAATTTTAAAAATAAAAATTTTGATTATAATAATTTAGTGTTGAATCTGAATAGCTATATAGTTATCCAAATTATAAAATTTAATGATTTTTTATAAAATTTAAACACAATATTAGAGGTCTTGCATACTATTGTTTTCTATATATCTTTAATAATGATTATAAAATAACTATATATATAGTTTATTTTTATCTTTGCTTCAATATAAGATAATATAGTATTTCAAAAACATTAAATTTTTGATAATACGATTATTAGCCAATGCTATTAATTTGTAAATATACCTGTAATTGAACTATTTTGTGATTAATGCTATAAAAATTAAGCTAACCAAATTTGGTGATTAAATGTAGTTATACAAATTTGACAATAAAGATGCATAATATGAATTGAAGAAAATCATTATCATATACTCACAATGCTACTTGTATATTATCTCTGTTACGCTTATATATATTATTTTAAAATCAAAGAATTATTGTATAATTTCTGAAAAGATATAATCTCAACTAGATCAACCAGTATTATAGCTAACCCAAGCTAACTTTATTGGGATTATGTTTTTTCAAGAAAGAAAATATTCAGGAACTTAAATTACAATAAATAAAAGATCTATTTTATAAACTTAATCTAAATTAGCTAATATGAGATTATATATACCGATGAAATTATTTTAGGTTTTAGGATATGAAATTAAAATTTGAAGACGAAATTGTTTTAGACCTATTTTATTTAAAAGATGAAATTTTTTAATATTCTTTTTAAAGAGATGAAATTATAAGGAATATAACTATCTAAATTAGATTTGCTCTTGTATATAAAAAATTCTAAATTGCTCTAATAGAGATGAAATAGGGTTTTTTTGAAAACCTATTTTAGTGGCATATATATATGAGATATATGTTGTTATTTCAGAAAACTTCTGTTATTATCATAAAATTAATTATTCTATTTTTAAAGGAAAAACCTTGAATTAGCACCTATACACTTTATTTTGCGATATGGTTTTTTATTTAAAATATTAAAAAAAAAGGTAAAACACTTTTGCTAGTGATTATAAATATTAAAGAAAGGTGAAATATAAAACTTAAATAAAGGAATTGTATAAGCCTTATGATAAAATAGATACTATAGATGATTTGATATGTATCAATAGAAGAAAAATAGTAATATTGTTATTATCGCAGAAATTATTTTATTGTAGATCAGAAATTGAGTAAAATTTATAAAATCTGTTTTCTTATCTTTGTAATCTTTGTAATATATATAAAAATTTTTTAGTTTTAGATCAAATAAAATTTTTAAATAAAAGTAAAATTAATTCAACAAACTGTGCTTATAATAAAATTTTAATCCAATATGTTTATCAATAAATTACAATAATATATTGAGAATATAAATCATTATATACTCCTTATTTCAGACAAAACTCTTACTTCATATCTAAGATCTTTAAAATATTTCAATAATTGGTACTTCTAATAAAAATACAAGATTCTAATCAATTTGTATCTTATAATACTACTTGGTCTAATGAAGATGAACTTGAATTAGATGAATCATCAAATAAATCAGATACAAATATATTAGAAAATCTATATAGTTTAGACATTGAATTACTAGATAAGTCAACTTCAATTTTATTTAATTAATCTGCATCGAGTAATAGTGATATTACTATTACTAATAGTTTAGATAAACAGGTTTGAAAAAAGTTTTTACTAGCACTAAAAAATCAAGATCAAAAAAAAAAACTAGGTATAGAACTATTTTAAGTGAAGCAAAGCTAATAAAAAAGCTTATTGCAAAGTTAAAATAGTAAAAGAAGATGATACACAAAGTGCTTGTAGCTATTATTATGAATTAACAACTAGAACTAGAAATCTAAAGTCACATCTTTATCAAATTTACTGAATTTTGTCTCTTGAAACAAATAATAATAATCAATTAGCAGCAAGAATAGTATTAAACCAACCAATTTTACATATTATTATTAATAAAAAAATACTCTTGCCTTTTCAAAACAAGATAAAATTACAGATCATACCTTGGCTTGGATCATAGATAACTTACAACCATTTTACATTCTACCTACAATCTTCTAAAAAATCTTTTATTTCTTCGCAATACTATTGAATAGCTATTTATTTACTTAAAACAAAATGTTAATAGACAAGAAAAACAAGATAAAATAAAATTTTCAAAGCTTTTTTTATCATTAGAAAAATAGATATCTTTAAATAAATTAGTAGAATTACTATTTCCTTTTGTACAAGTAACTGAATATATTAGAAGAAACTAATATTCAACTTTAGGAATGATGATATCTACTCTTATTAAGCTTTTTCGTTATTTACAAGATTTTTATCCAAAAATTATATCATCAACTATAAGAACTTGTTACAGTAAAATCAATAAATCAATGCTATTAGATAGTCTGAGCTATCACAAAGTAGTTTAATAGCTTTCTTTTTAGATTTAAGATTCAAAAAATGAATCATATAACACCAACTCTTTCTGACAATCTCTTAGTCAATAACAAAAAAATCGAACTACAGTTAAAGTATAGAAAAGCGACAAAATAGACACTACGATACTCTTGGTTCATACTAACATACTTGCTATCAACTAAACTTATATACATGAAATACTGAAAAGTGGGCATATAACTAAAAAGTGGGTTTGGTATCGCAGTCAAGCTCCTTTTTTACAAGCTATTATCTACAAAGTTCTTAAATGTAATATATCGAGGTGTAGGTGTTGTGAACAGTTTGCACAGAGATCAAGCCTTTTCTATATGTGGTGGACTCTTTTGTGTGTTCGGCATTCAAACCGGAAAAGTCTCTAGGAACAGCAAGAAAAAAAGAAGTAGACTCTCCTATACCTTTGATATCCAAACCAAATGAATATTTTTAGAGCAATGTCCCTGTCAGGTCTTTGTGGAAGAATATCTAGTAGAAACAAAGAAACTAGACTATACTACTGTAACTTTTACAAGAAGAACCTTACATACTCTCATTGGCCCACCACTTTTTTTCAATGAAATTTTGTAAAAATTGGGTGTTTCAGCTTATCCTCTCCAAAAAATCGATATCACGTACACCAAAACAGTTAGCATTGTTTACCTCCTAAATCGGTACAACAGGACAACAAACACGTTAAGGCACATACCTCGAATACAACAATCTGATTAAGCAATATTCTATGACTTGAATCGAGTACCAACCCTTTACGTTCTATGGTCGAAAAAGTATTTTTTCACTGGTTTTGAGCTTTCATATACTATTCAGATAAATTTAAAGTAAAGATTATTTTATTTAGTAGTACAG